CAGTTCCATTGTTGAACATTCTGAAATATTGCTGAAATATTTCCGAACCCCTGTTCGGAACTTGGAACTTGGACAGGAAAAGTTGCGGATAGGTGTATTAAAAGTTGCTACACGCATCGGATTGAAACATGCTTTAGTATTTACCTCAAAATGCTTCTATCAGTTGCTAAATTCTGAACTTGGTGTTTGGGTATTGCCTTTGATACCGTATCCATTGCATGCTGAGCGCTACATTAATTTGAACACACGAAACTGCCTAATCGCCTCTTTCAAATAAAAGTAATCAACAATTGCCGGACTGAAGACCTGCAATCCACATCCCCTCACTTTTGCCCATTTAATGGCACATCGAAGAATTCGCTTTGTGCACGCAAAATACACCTCCCAGCCACAAAAAGCCAGACAAAAGTCTGCAAATTTAATTAAGGCGTTACCTCTATTCAACACCTTCCAGGCGTTCGTTCGCAGGAGGGCACATAAAAAGTTAATTTCTCCCCAGTGAATTCCTGGAACAAAGACCAAGGCTTCCAGCTCTTCTTGGCAGGAAGAAACTGCAGGTCCTACATTTAATTGCTTAAAAGCTTCGGCAATATTCGAAGCGATGCGAACGCAAAGGCACTTTGGATCGACTAAAATTGTAATTACTCGACAGAAAGGCGGACAAGCGAAATTTTCGTATGCCTCTGGGGTGCCAGTTAATGACATTATAATGGCCAATTGTTCGATTTGTTTTCCTTGAGAATTGGGTCCTCTAGCAGCGGTCGCTCACTATTAGGCCTGGTAATTGTCTGATGTTATTATTTGTCTTCGATTAGCCAGCAATCAGTACTCAGTTATCTTTTATTCCTTATTTTTACGCATATTCAAGTTGAGAAGCAAGTATAATTGCGTTTTGAAATATAGGAAATAGGTAAGAATATAGTACATTTGAACTTTCGAGTTTTTGTCAGTGCAAGCACTTTAACTATGATTACCCAACATCTTTAGCTTGCCACGCATCGCAGCTATCATCTTACCGGCGTTTTGCGATCAGCTACCTGAGTTATCATTATCGCTAATTCCAGTTAGCAGAGGCAGCTGACCAACCAGTCTCGAGGTATGGGTTCTGGGTTCTTGAGTTCCCGAGGAGGCGTGTCACCAGGCAAGCCCATGTGTTAACACGTAATTTGTAGCCAGACATCGGAGGAGTATCAGGTTGCTCTTAACTGGAGTGTGAGCACCTAGCTCCCTGACTCCTTTATTTTTCCCCGCAGTTTTCTTTTTTACCTGGCTACCGTATGTGCGCTGCTTGCGAGCGGACTTCTTGTGATATGCAAATATTTGGATGGCATGCAAACATCTTTTGGCGCATGGCAAGAAAGGGGCTTAAGAAAACCAATATACGTGAGCGACGAGTGCGTAATGACTTTATTTATGACTCGGCCTGAGACAATAGCCTGGGGAGCAGATACCTCAGCGAATGCGATATTTGCATGCCGAAGTCATTTTCCGCTCGCCGTCCTCCTGCGAAAGTGTTGACAGGCCATAAATACTCGCAGGACTCTCTGCGATTTAATGAGTTTCAGTCGATTTCACGGGAATTTTCATCTTTTGGTTTTGCTCGTATGTGTTCCTTTGCGGCTCAGCCTTAATTTAAATAGCAAAACAAACGACCACCGGCCAATTAATCATTGTCTGCTTAATTTTTCATTGTCAGCCAAAAAGGGGAGAAGGGTCTCCTATGTGGATGACAATTTTTGGTTGGCGTTCCCATTCGTTTTCCTCTGCCGGAATGGCCTATTTCATATTTGATGAAGCACTTTGCTGCTCCTGTCCTGTCATCCATTCTGTTGCCGTAGCCGCATACATTAGGAGGAGGGACAAACCTGATTTTCGACCCTCCTCGAAAGACCTGAAAATCGGAAGTGTGTTCGTTCACCCCTCTGTCTTTGATTCTATTCGTTTTCAAATTTCTACCTGGCAGGACAGATTCGTTGGCCATTGTTGTGTGTCGAGTGCCACGCGCTTTGGTGCCACAATAATAAAAAAAACCCTTCAAACCAAATATGTCTCGTCGCCTTTGATAAAGTGTACTTGCACATGAGGAGTTTGGAAAGAGCCCATTTAGGACTGGCTTTTGTTTAGAAGCCCGTTAAGTTTTTCATTTGCATAATATTCCGGGGGTTGCCCGCAGTTTCTGGTTAAAAAACGCATTATTTAATAGTTTTTGGGAGCTTAGGATCATTGTTTTCTGACCTTGATTAGGGAAATGAGTTGTAAATGGTTATCATATTCTTGGAATTATGAGGGCAAAACGCTCACTACAGCTTGCCCTATTCAAAATACTCGCCGCCTTAATTCATTGCATGTATTGACCATAACAAATATTTAATACCCTTTGTTTGACCGAAGCGTTTCGAGTAACTCCCGAGTAACTATTAAAGCTTCGTTAGCCAACATTCGGTTGGCATTCAATCCAGGAAATTTTAGGACGGGCTCAATAGTGGGTAATTTATTCAGCTGCGTTCGTCTTTTACGAGCTCCGCTACTGAAACTTGTTAAAAACTGTTGCCAGCAGTTAAAAATCTAATAAACAATAAGCCGGCAACGCCTTGAGCATGAATTCATTTTTGACTGAGTCTTCGAAGACACATATTCACACTCAAGTTCTTTTCGGGTTAACACGCGGCAGGTGGTCTCGCCACATTGATATTTAATCGATTTTAAATGACTTTAATGTGGGGAAAGCCCAATGTGATGCTCTGTGGGGGCGTGTTCAGGTTTTGTGCCCGAGGTTCTGTGAAATGCTACTATCAGAGCAGGCTAGAAAGTAAGCTAGATTGATTTCACTAAACTTTATGTCAAGAAAGATACGTTTTCATCAACCCAAATATCATTGTAGCTTCCAATCGTATGCATTTCATTTACTTTTTCTGCTGTGTGCCCTTTGGCTGCCATGACGCATCAATCAATCCAATGGTTGAATATATAAATATAAAGCACACGGAATTCCAGCATCAAATATTCATTTATGCCGAAATGTAGAGCTATGCATAGGAACGCTTTTATTCACCATATTGTATCGCATTTTATCTTCGCTTTTAATTAAGTGGCACTATGAAAAATAAAAAGACGAAACCAACTTTTTGAAGAGACAAAAACTGAACTGTGTTTTGATTAATCGCAGACCGGGGCATTTTAAATGAATTTTAACACGCAGAACAGCTGCCGCCAATGGAATTGGGAAAGGCCAAGAAAAGATTCAGTTGGAAGCCTCGTAGAAAATCGTTTATTTTTGCCAAACAAATTGTAAATGATTTATTTGGCTTATATCTCGGAGCTTGTTACCCCCGAAAACTATGGGTTTATTAGCGGCAGAAGCAAGTTATGCAAATGCCCAAAGTTCACATAATTTGTTGGTAGTCAGCTTCGTCAACTGATTAGCAGATCACACAGATATGGCCTTAAGTTTTCGTTTTATTATCTGAATCGGCTGCCGGAGACATTTTCATAGCTAATTGCAATTAAGATGCCGAAAGAAAGATATCCGAAAGAGGTGACAATAATACACATGTGACTCTGGTTTTGGGTCGATTAAAATTAGTGGAAGAGTCGTTGTTCCATTTCGAATAAATCAGTCGGAAATCGATACCTCAATGTAAAAGCTTCAAGGATGTCGCGCTAGAATTCATAGGAATGTTTTTCGCAAACAATGATTATTTTACACATGTGTAGCTTCATTATTCAACTGTCATTAAGAGTCACCCATGTAATCATTTGTCATTCAATTCCGGTCACGCCCAATTATAAGTCAGGCTAGTTATAAGATCATTAGCCAACTATGTGTAGCCCCCACTCCTTTTCAACCCGGGAATTGTTGGACCAGAAATCCTCCGCGTTGATAGAAACGCGTAAAAAGCTAATAAAACTATTGTCAACACATTCGGGATGTACGAGTACACAATCGGTCAACTAAAGTCAGTGGCAGTGGCGCCTGCGCAGCTGTTTGAAAAATTGTTAAATGGAAAGGAACCTTTTTCCGACTTACCCAACTTTAGGTAGCGAAATTATAGGGTGCGTGCCACTGTCGGATTAGAGGAACAGGGTCGGCATGGCGTGTTGCACACGGGGTAATTAAAATAATTTTCTCAATGAAATTGAAGTTTTCAAGGCCAGCCATGTGTGGCACATATTTGAGGGGGTGGAAATGCAAGAGCTCTGCGGAATTACCTACAGCCTAGGACAATGCGATTGCCAAAGCCTTATGTAGAGCATGTCGGGGCAACATCAAAAACTAACCGAAAATCCCACATCCTGGGAAAAGTCCTTGACTGGAACAGACTGTGACAATGTTGCCATTCTTCCCCTGTTTGCCGCCCGGCCTGCCAAAATAGCTTGAATATTAAATACTTTTACTATTACCATGTAAAAGTTTTCCCTTTGTGCAACATTTTCTGAGCACTTTGGGTGTCTGGTGCTTGCCTGCCACACAGCAATTAAAAAGTGAAGAGTTGACACTTCTCTAAAGCTCAGCTGATGCCAGCGATGTAATGATGATGATATAGCCTCGAGGATTGGGCTCCATTTGCTCTAACGTCTGAATGTTTAATAATCTTGGAAGAGGTGCAACGAATTTGATTTTGAGAAATGCAGTGCTCCAGAAATATCAATTTTAATGATTATATATCTTAAAAGTGTGTGCTAACATTACATAATATGCACATTGAATAAAACAATGCCTTCTGTTATAAAATAGCAGTATTATGCCAGGGTTCTTTAATTATACCCCATTTAAATATTTATACTTTATGACCCGCGAATATGCACCTCAATAAAACAAACTTTCCTGCATGCTTGATGAGCCCTCACAGTGCAGCACCAATATAATTTATTCACCTGGCCTATGAATTATTCACTTTCAATGACCCATAAACTTTACACAATGCCCATAAATATTAACCTGTACCGAGAACTGCCACTAACCACAAATCCATTTTCGTTTCTACCCACTTTATTTGCAGTTTGCGCCTCCCACGGGAAAACAAACAAAAATGTATTGATCAGCAGCGGAAAAGGTAGACTGGACAAAGGAATTTACCCATGAATAAGTCAAGTGTTAATAGTAAAGTCAATAATTGAAGAGGGAGCATTTTGAAACGGGCCAGTCACAGAAAAGGTGTTGATACCAAACAGGATCAGAAAGTGCCGCGGCAAAATGGCGGCACGACGTTGCCTGAATCAGCTCAGGCAACGTTATATAACCAACCGATTTAATATATGCACCTGCGCGATATTTTTAATATCCCTCCCCTTGATATTGGCCATAGAGGAGACCACATTTGCTGGTCTTTCGGCGGAAAATGCGGCCCGCATGCTGGCCGGCAGTCCCGGGGACGTGGAAAAGTCCTCGTCGTCGCATCACAGCGAAATGTCCTTGGTCCTGCCACACGACACCTATCCTGGATTCAGCATCAAGAAGTTCAAAACCCATCCTGTGAAGATCAACGGTAGCTCGCACTCTGGTGCAGCTGCCTATCACATGTTGGACACTGACTACTCCAAGTACTTCACCGTTCTGGAAGATGGCGTGGTGATGACCACGGCGGATATTTCCCCCCTTGTCAATCGTCCGGTTCAGTTGGTGGTTGTGGAACAAACGCCCAATGCCACCAATACCCACAATCTGCAGCTGTTTGTGATGCACCGCAATGATATGCTGCGATTTTCGGGTTCCCTACTCGATGCCAGCGGCGAAGTTAGGGAGAATCAACCGGCGGGCACCAGGGTGAGAGGAGTGCCCCTGATGCAGGCCTTCAGCGGTTCCATCCTGGACGAGGAACTGGCCACCCCCAAGAAGGTGCGGTACACCATTATCGACGGCAACGTGGACGATGCGTTCGCCCTGCAGGAACGCAAGGCCAACAAGAACATACAGATAAGTGCCAAGTCCTTGGTAATTAATGGCGATGACGAGTCCGGCGTTTGGCTGGTCACCAATCGTCCGCTGGATCGAGAGGAACGGGCTCACTATGATCTCTCCGTGGAAGCCTCAGATGTCGATGGCTTGGACAAGACTGTTTCCAAAATACAAATCTCCGTGCTGGATGAAAACGACAACAGGCCGATTTTCAAGTCGCTGGACTACAAGTTCGCCATCGCTGGCCAGAAATCTGCAAGCATGGAGAGCAATAGTAGTGTGACATACCAGCGATTTGCCATCATGGGAAAAGTCGAGGCCACCGATGCTGATGGTGACAAGATCGCCTATCGGCTGAAGTCGCCCAGTAATGTTGTCATCATTGTGCCTCAAACTGGCGAAATAATGCTGGCTGGAGAGCCCACTTCAAATGAACTTCTTATCGAGGTGATAGCCCACGATCTGCGGTATCCCAGTTTGCTGAGCGCAAAGCCCGCGAAGGTTCTATTAGAGTTCTTGGCCGCCGAACCCGTTTCGTTTATAATGCAGCACCTGGAACACGATGAGATCAACAATCACTCACATCACCGAGAGAAAAGACGTGTTACTCGAGCGGTGCGACCCACCAAGAGGATTGAGTTCACCGAAGCTGATGGCGACACTGAGGGAAAATCGGTGTTCCAGCTGGAAAAGGAAACCGATAAGGAAACATTCAAGATCCGCGATGACAATCCCTGGGTGACGGTGGAAACAAACGGCGCTGTGCGAGTGAAGAAGAAGTGGGACTACGAGGAGCTGGGACCAGAGAAGACCATCGATTTCTGGGTCATCATCACCAATATGGGACACAATGGTGAGTGAAAGTCCTACTATCTTTTTCATTATACACAATTTAGGATGCCAATTTCCATGCATAAACAGTCAGGTTCGAAATCTTTACTCCAAAACAATTAGTGAGCACTCCCTGTATTTGCACAGTGATTTATTAAACGAACCAAGCCCCTTTAATCTTGCATATTAGCACTCGAAACTGTTCAGCTATTTAAGCCTAATTATATGCGTTGGCGTATTCGAAAAGTAAATGAGTTCGCATAGTACTGCCGATAAATTAATCGCATTATGAGTATTTTGGTTAGGCATCTAAGGAAATCAAGGCGAAGTATACAATGACGGACAGGCTGTACTAATTGAATTGGCTTGGGGCTCAACAGATAAAACAAAGATTGTTTCTGGTGGGTAAATGCACTTTCTTGGTACTAATTAAGGCTTAACAGCGCTGGTCTCTTCTTAAAATGCAGGAAAATTTGATATCTATAGTCTTGGGCTTCACTTTGATTAGCTGAGGCGATATCAGCCATCTGAAAGCGATTTTGTTCAACCTTTTGAGCTGAGCATGAAAACACAATTTCAATAAATCACAGAAATGTGCTGACTGCCTTTAAATTTCTTTTGTGCTTTAAATTGCTTTTCAAATATTTGGTTGACATGGAAAGCAATTACGCTCGATACAACAGAGCATACATTTGCACAGTAAGAAAATGCGTGTGGCAAACGTATTTGCATTTTATAACTCAATGTATCGCTAAGACTGAAGTATTTATTATATTTTCAAACATATTTTCCACTGACTGAATACTTTAAATCTTTAGCTTTGAAAGTTATGCGTAGTTTTGTTGACCACTTCACATTGACTGTCAGTTGAGGCGTGGCTCAATAAGCAAATATTGAACCCACAGCTACCCAGAATCCATTCAGGCATCAACTGAGCAGCTGTAAGGCAAGCTAGGATTCCTGGTGGTTCTCAATCCAGGAAAACCCGAAACCGCATTTTCCCTGCCCATCTCTTGACAGGAGTCGAATGAAAAGTTCAGACAACTGACAGCTTTCCCTCTGAATGTCCAAGTTGGTTTTCCAACCAGTGTACGAGTTCATGAAATGTTGAAATATATTCAGAGAACACCCCCCACACACACACACACACTTGTGTCATTTACATCGGAAAATGGCTGCAGAAAAGGAAAACTTTTGCCCTGCAGTTTTTCCGCATTGTGTGGACGGCTGGGACTTCGGACAGCGATTGGTGACCCCTCAACCCCTTTGGACTGTTCAACTGTCAGTCAATTAACAGTTTCCATAAATTTTGAAACTGCCACTGTCTCTCATTCGCTATCGCATCTGCTCTTTGTTTGAGTGATTTTCATTTACACTGTTTGCCTTCGCACATTAGGCTTTTCCATTTTCCTGGAAAATGTCCCCGGATTGCCCGGATAAAAGTGCAGGCTACTTTGCAATACTGATTAATCAGCCAAAACTGAATTGTTTTTGTTTAAGAGGCATGAAATTCGCTACGAAAAAAATACAGCATTACAAGTATAAAGAACTGTTACACAAATGATGTCTGCTTTCCCAGAAAGTATCAGGTAAACAAGCCACTTGATGAAATCATTCGAAATTATCACTTGAAGCCGCCCTCAAACCTCTTGAACTAATGCTTAGTATCTCAAGCGTTTAGCCAAGACATTCGAGATTTCATGGAACTCTACGAGTATATCTAGGCTATCCACTGGATCCGAGAATCCTTGAGTTAATTTATGAGCGTACGGCGCAAGGGGGAGGTGCACGGAAAATTCTAGGATGCACACATGGCTGGGCGGAAAACTCTACTATGTAAAACACTTAACAAAGCATTGCAACAGCCAAATGGCCAAGAAGCAGAAGAAGAGAGGAGCAGCAGCAGCATAAGTGAACACGAAATTTACGACAATATTTTTCATTCATTTAAAATGCTACGCCAATACACATGAGGATATTCAAAGGCGTAAGAGAGAGAGGGCGAGCAAGGGAAGGGAAAGAGAGGGGCAGAACGTGTGAAAGAGAGGGGAGAAGGGACGAAAGAGTAGTAAAAACATATATCGAGAGCAACATCTGTGGAACGTGAAACGCTAAAACCTGAAACAAATGAAATTTGAACAAGTTGTTGAGCATGCGCCCCGAAAACCGAGAGAAATCGAGAACGAGAACTTGCAGAAATGAGGGTTGGGTTGTTGGTATTATTCTGAGCTGAGGAGTGGCGACAGGTCCAACAGGAAAACGCTCGTAACAATTAGAATTCTCCTTGTCTCACCCCAAAAAGCCCAAAGAAACCAATATGAGTTTTGACTCTACGCCCCCCTGTGAAAAAATACGCACGATTTGACATAGAACGTGCGAGAGAGAGGGCGGTATTTCGGCACAGAAAGGGATGGGGCTAGCGGGTGTGTTTGTTTTAGAAATTTCCAAGCGCATTGTTTTGTCCAAAAATGCATGCAGTTCTTTTGCATTGGAACAGCTCCCCAAAGGATGAGGGGCTATACACTGAGGGTCAAAGGGTGGTAGCAAAAGCTTTGACATTCCGACACAAGCACATGCACAGGAAAATGAGGTAAGAGGCAGAAGGCATCAATTTTATGCACTGCCAGGAAACCAGAAAATCACACGCAATGAATGTTAAAATTTAATAAATCTGATAAAAGATAAGAAACTCCTGAAAAATACACACTAATAGGAAAATTCTTAAATAGGGATGGGATATGGGTTTAACCTGATTAAATATATTCCTACATGGATTTTATTTACTCATGAATGCAGAGTTCCGCGAGATCGCAGGTGCAGTGTCCAAGAGCCAATCTTCAAGATACAGCCTTTGACTCCATTCGCAACTATTTGCGATTGGCAACTTTAATGGCGATATAAAGCTGCGTACCTGTACTCGTGCCCCATATGAAAAGTTTCCACAGCCTTGGCTCGTAAACTCCATCTGGCTGTCATAAAACAAAGGAGAGCAGGGCAACCCTAAAAGGGAGCAACCCTGGATAAATGCTGTGCAAATTGTAGCATATCCTCGGGCTGGCTTGCGTATAAATTATGAAAATCAGAATTTAAGTTTACGGCGAGGAAAACTTCTTGGTACGTCTTCTTTGGAGCAATAATCGAGTTTAGACATACAAGCACTCACATTCACCCAGTGCACGTTGTGGGTGGAAACTTGCTTAATTAAGCATTAATATCATGTTTTATATGCAGGTCTGGGATTGCAGTGAGTAAGAAACGGCAACTATTCCCGTAATGGAAATTATTTAAATTAGTTCTACGGCGAGTGCTGTGAACTGTACGGTGAATCCTTAATGCACTCGCTGTGCTCCTATTTAATTTTAATATAATTTATGCACATTTTAAATCAATTGTCTAGAAAACGTCATTTAGAGGAAAGAACAACGACTTCATATGTCATTATTTTAAAATAAATCACCCTATCATTTTTAATAGGTGTTAATAATGAGAAAAAATAAACATGCTTAAATGTTAGCTTCCTCTTACATTTCGTGTAACTTCACTCGATTCTTCAGCTCTTGGAAATTTGTAAACTTGCAACCCACATCTGCGCCATGTGGCAAGCTTCAAAAGTGTTTTGGCCTGAATTCCAAGTGCCGGCGAGGGGATATAGAAAAAGGAAAGTTTAGGAAAAACTGCTGGAAAAAGGTACGCTAAGTAAGGATGCCTGGCTAAGACTTTTCAATATGACAGTTGAGCAGGGTGAATATCAGGTTTTGTGATGATATCATTTTAAATACCGCGTGCTTAGGACAAAAAGTGTAACCTTTCGGCTTCAAAAATGCAAATACAAGTCTCATACTTTCCCATACAAGTTCATTGGTTTGCCTAATCCAATTGGAATTGCATTCGAATTGCTCGTTTCCCTTTTTGCGGCTTTGATGTCCTTGGACATCTTGCGGAAATGATAAGGTCACTTGGTTAATCAAATTTTAAATTGCGATACGACCACTGGATCCTTTTGATTCACTTTGTTGCTTACTAAATTTGAAAAATTACTTCAATTTATTTGGCCGCATTTCATCTGAGCAAGCAAAATCAATTTACGAATTTAGTTGCCAACTTTATTTGCATTTTGGCTGACATGGGAAATTTACAACCAAAAATATGGAAAAATCGTGTACGGTGCAACTGGACAAAATAATGTTTGAATGACTTTGGTGTAAATTAATGAAAAATCAGATTTATGTATAGAAATAGTTCGATTTTGATCTACATCTTATTGACATAATACCTTTAAATCGTACTGATTGATAAATGCCTGTTAGCTATTTATTGTATTTCCACTTAATGTGCTATTTATTTTTAAGAAAGAAGGTTTGCTTTTGAGTTTTACTCTTTTTCTGTTTGTTTTGTAAAATTGCCGTCAAGTTATTTTCTTATATTAATCTGTCAATTAACTGTATGTTTGACACTAACGCCAAATAAAACGCTAAATATGCTGTGCCTTAATTTTTGAATACATGGTTCCAGTTTCCAAGTCGCAAGAGTTCAAAAAACGCTGAGCTTTCGCGAAAGGCACAAAAATTGTCGAATTAACATATAATCGGAGTAGACAAGTGACAGGAACATCGAAATAAATGGCCATGGCCAGCGACAGCAACCGGAACTGAACTCGGATTCGAGTCAGAAACAGAATTCCAAACTGAAAGAGACGGGAACCAAAGGCAGAGGCGGGCCAAAACGCCTAGAGGCAGGCTACAGTGCAAAGGAGCATAACCGTGGCATGCTCGCATACATGGAGCCACGAATACAGATACAGATTTCCACCAAGAGATGTGGCAACAAAATGGCGTCTGTTGCGACCATGTTGCCATGGCGGCAGACGGATGGGAAAATGGGAAATTTCGGCAAAGATGGATGCGCACTGCGTCCAAAAAAGGAGGAAGAATATCAGAATAGCCGAACGCGGCTTATTTTGTTTGTTTTGTGTTTTTAGCTTTTGGCGACTGCCACTGCCACTGCCACTGCGACTGCAATAAG